AGCTCCACTGTCAAAGTCATCAAATGCATCGTGATTATGATCAACTTGAAAGATAGTAAAAATTTCCTCCTCCTTACCTACTCGGAATGTCAACTTGCCTCTCCCAACATCGATGAGTGCATCGCCAGTGACTAGAAAAGGTCTACCAAGAATGAGAGGCACTCCCCGATCTTCTTCTATCTCCAAAATGACAAAATCTGTTGGGAGAATAAACTTTCCCACCTTCACCAATACATTCTCCACCACTCACTTTGGAATTTTCACTGTCGATCAGCCAATTGGAGAGTGATCCGAGTAGGCTTAAGAACATCTCCCAATCCAAATTTCTTGTAGACTGAGTATGGCATCAAATTAATTCTTGCTCCAAGATCACAAAGTGATTTATCGAACTCTGTACCTCCAATGACACATGGAATGGTGAAACTGCCCGGATCATCCCTCTTTTCTGGTAATTTATTCTGAATCACAGCACTACATTCATAAGTAAGGGTTACCTTCTCTAGCTCAGCCCATTTGCGCTTCTTAGTCAGCAAATCCCTTAAGAATTTAGCATATGTAGGCATCTGTTCAAGTGCCTCCGCTAATGGTATGTTTATATGAAGTTGCTTGAAGAGATTCACAAATTTCTTGAATTTTGGGTCTTCCATGGGCTTCATTAACCTTTGAGGGAATGGTGCAGGAGGTTCATAAGGCTTGACAACTTCATTCTTGAATTTTCCCACCTTTGGAGGTGCACAGGCAGAATGCTCATGCACAGGCAGATTGCATGCAGTTTGCCTGTGTAAGTCAGATTTTTCAGCTTTTGCACTTTCTTCCTCTGCAACTGCTTTGCCCTCCTTTTCTACCGGATTTTTCTTGCTCTTTGGATCCTCCAACTCCTTCCCACTCCTCAATGTGACAGCTACAACCATGGCGTCCTTCGGATTCCTCTCAGTATTTGCTGGTAAAGCCCCATGGATCTTACCTTGAATATCTGCCAAAGTTTGAGCCATCTGGCCTATTTGCCTCTCCATAGCTAGCATAGATGATTGCATATAATTATTGATGGCTAGCTGTTGAGTGACAAATTGATCAAGACCCTTGAAATTATTGTTTGTTTAGTGCATATGAGCCAAAATCAACTCCTCCAGCTGGGGCTTTTTCTCTGGTTGAGGCTGCTGCTGTTGAAAACCAGGAGGTAGGATGTTTTGAACACCAGATGGATTATTGTTTGACCATGACATATTGGGGTGATGTCTCCATTGAGGGTTGTACGTATTTGAATACATACCACCTTGGCCTTGACTTCGCGGATTATTGATGTATTGGACATCTTCCAACTGAGCAGCTCCCAGTGGACACATATCCCTATGATGAGGACCCTCGCAAAGTTCACATGAAACAACCTCCTCTTGTCTACCCAGAGCAATCTTGGCCAGCCTTCGTTCGAGTGCATCGAACTTAGAATCCAGCTTGGCATCTATCTTGGCTTCTAGACTCGCAACTCTGTTTATCTCATGAAAGCCTCCTCTTCTTCGAATACTGGTCTCACTACCCCATTCAGTGGCTTCTGAACAGATCTTCTTTACCAGATCATATGCTGCTGGTGCCTCCATGCTTGTGAAACCATTTCGAGAAGCATTATTCAGGGCATCCCGGAACTCCCTTCTGATTCCATTGAAGAAAATAATGATCACGTTCCAATCTTCAAGACCATGGCTTGGGCATCTCATCATTAGCCCCTTATAGCGCTCACATGCCTCAGCCAGACTCTCATCACCAGCCTGCTTAAAAGTAACAATCTCTTCTTGCCTCTTCATTGCCAAGGGAGGTGGGAAGTATTTATCCAGAAAGACCTTCTCAAGCTGAGCCCCTGTCGCGATGGAACATGGTGTTAAGTTCTAAAACTAGTGTGATGCATTCCCTATCAGAGAGAATGAGAACATCCGAAGACGAATTGCATCATCAGACACAGTTGGGCTCTTCATCGTATCACATATGCTCGCGAACCGGCAGAGATGTTCATGAGAATTCTCAGTGCTAGCCCCTAAGAAAGTATATCCATTGGTGATCATATTGATAAATGCTGGGGTAATTTCCATGGTTGCATCCCTAGTCGGAATGACAACACATGAAGCTCGGGCTCCAGTACTTCGATTCAAGCGAGCCCTGATCGAACGATCCTCGTCTTCCATGATGATAGGCTCAATGTCACGAGGTGGTGGTGGTGTCGGGACGACAGGTGATGAAGTATGCCCTCTCTATTGAGTGTTGACGATTCTTGGTTAGGGAAGGCCTAGGAGTTGTGGTTGTGGTTGGTTGCTTCCCTAACTTGACCTGCTTCCTGTTCTGTCGGCAGGTCCTCTCTATCTCGGGATCAAGTGGCAGTAAATTGCCGGTCGTCCTCCTTGGCATGCACAAGGAAGATAAACCTGAAAATTCTTCTGCACACTAACACCCAGATCAAAATAGTTTACTCACAAAAATCAACAAAAATAAGGTATGGCAGTCCCCGGCAACGCCGCCAAAAACTTGATAGGGCAAAAGCGTAATGCCAATTCCTATCTTTTAGTAAACCGGAAATCCGGGTATCGTCTCTCAGGGACTGGTACAACCTTATATTCTATCAATTTATAGAGCAAACTCTAGGTGAAAAATGGTTTGGTTGATGAGATTATTAACTAATAGCAAAATAATTAAACTAATTAAGCAAAGTAAACTTGTTGAGGGAAATTCAATGGGAGAAAGCTCTGGGAGAAACACCGGAGTTCACTACCTATCATATCCAAATTAATTCACATATTCCAATCAGTTTAATCCATATCTCTACAGGCAGGATATCACTACTGTGCTAGCTATCCCTGTTGGGAATTACTACGTACTAAACAATTAAATCAAATCCTACTGTCGTAGCTCAATGACTTAATTATTTAGCTTGAAGATCGATATCCTATTCAAGACCACATAGCATCTTATTTAATCCACTGTCGCTTTGATAAGTTACTATGTCACACGAAATAGGTTCAGTTATTAGGGTTTAACTGTCGCTAATAACCTAATTAACTACAAATCATTGTATTGGTGGCCAGTCAACACAAGCATTAAGTAATTTCATGCAATAGAGATTGGAAGAAAAGAAATACGAATCAATCCATCAAGTCAAGAAATAGCTACATCCTACAATGTTTCCCTCAGAAATCGGGGTTTAGTTCATGATGAAACTGAGATAAATCGATAAGGTTTTGGTCATCATATTCTAAATCAACAATAAACAACTAATTTGGTTCAAAAAATCCAACCAAATAATCGCTCTCGTTGAACCCAGCTCAAGCCGCCTTGGAGAAGTCGATCGTTAATTGTCCAATCGCCGCTCCAATCTCTGCGCTGCGCCTTGGGGTAATTTCTGCTGCCCCAGCCTCTCGCTCAATCCCTTCCAAAGCAATTTCGTTTCCTCCAAAAAAATAATTCCGCTCTCAAAAGAATTCCCCCCTCTCTTAATAAAAGTCTTCCTTCCCCCACTATAATTCCACGCCCCAGCTCCAATTATTCCATCCCCACACCTAATTGCCTCTCTCCCAATTATTCCGTCCCCCCTCCAAGCCATTTCGTCCAGGCCCAAAAGAATTTACGGCCCACAAAAGTCCAGTTCCGGTTCAACTCCTCAGTAAGTTACGGTCCAATGTACATCCAGTCCACTTGAATTATTCTATCCACTAATGCAAATTTCTCGTTTCATTTACCTGAAATATATAAAACATTTGGCACTTGATGGTAATGGTTTTATATCCATTCCAGGCTTAGTTGGACCTCAAACAAGTATTATAGGTCTCAAACATATCATGAAATAATCACATTAAGCACGCAAAATCAATATGTTTTCGACAATTATCAATAAGGGAAAGCTTGTTCTTCGCAAGAAGTGCGAGACACATAGATCTTGCCCAGGAGTAATAGTTTTTCTCGTTTAAGACGATGGTGACCAAAGCCGACACCGAATTATCACCGCGATTGAGAAAGTAAGGATGGCTTGGGTCGAGCAATCCGACAGGAGTGACGAATGAGAAATTCGCCTTAGTCACATGAGTTGATTGCGCGGAGAGATTCACCATTAGAGAACATATGAGATTGAGAAGGAAAGCGGAATGGTTTACAACCCTAGAATAAAAGGGGGAAATCGAGAGAGATCAATAATTTATCTACTCTGATACCATGTTATCTTGGAAGGAAAAAGTCTAATTGTATTATTTATGAAACGGTAAAAATATACACTGTCTTATTACATTATATATATACTAACTGTCAAATAACAAATACAATACATAAATAAACAAATATCACATTATAGCACCTAAACAAATATTACAGTATCTATACACCTGTTATTGATTTCCCTTGTGTCCAAACCTGGAACCCGCTGTAGCTGGAGAGGACTCCGTGAATGAAATAAAGCTTCTTTTATTATTATTATTTTTTATACGGTATAAAAATTGGGTAATAGTCGGACCTATATGATACTAACAGTACAAGTGCACAACGTGAATGTGGTGTAGACACGTTTCTAGGGAGTCTTTGGGATGGGGTACAAAAAATCCGAAACTAATTGATCATTGAGGGATAGGCGGTTAGGGATTTGGGGAAGATAAGATTGACAAAATTGAAACTTATGTAGTACAAGAGATAGAACGGGGAGGCAGAAGACCTATCAGTATTAAATTTGGACCGTAGATCTAGGAATGACATTATTAAATTGTTGGTTTGCACGCGAAGTGAGGAAGGACATTTTTGTCCGATTTTTGAAATTTGACTTTTATTTGATAAATTGCAAGGTTGTTCATCGAGATTACAAAAAACGTTCACATTTGGTCACTAAAAATATTTAATTCCATTCGTGGTCACTGAGATTACTAAATCCGTCCATATTTGGTCACTCTCCGTCCAATTTCGTTAACTTTTGCTTATGTGGCAGTCAACTATTATAGTTGATCGTTAAATGATTGACATGGAAATTAAAAATAATAAAATAAATCAAATTTAATTTATTTAAAATTTCCACCTCATTTTCAACTAATAAAAAATAATAAAACATAAAACTAAAATAAATTTTTATAATTGAAAAACCCTAGCCGTCCTTCTGCAATTCCCCACTACCGACTGCCCCCTCTCAATCTCTCTTGTCCTCTTCTCTTTTTTCTTTCTTCTTCTTCGTTTTTCCTAGGCGTGCCCTGATTTTTGCCTTCTTCTTCTCCCTCTTTTTTTTTCAAGGTTGGATATCGGTGCTGGCGGAGATCAATGGTTGGGCGGTGGCTAGTAACGCAAAGATTACTAGAGAAATTGGAAGCGCGGCGCCGCCGACGGTGCTATTCGAGCAGCGAGCGAAAAGGATTTGTCACACGGCCGCTGATGAGAGAAGCAGGATGGCGGAGGAGCGCATAGAACCATTGGGTAATTGGGTTCACTGTTCGCTCTATGAAACCCCCAGTAAAACCGTATATCAGCACTACTGTAGCATGTCAACAAGAAACCAGGAACCAAAATTACCATCCCCATTACCTAGCTTGCTACCCTGTTGTAACGGTATAGCAGGCTAAACTAAAGGCGGGTATTGGAGAAAGACGGATTCAGCGGCAGAGGAGTCCAAATCCATCGTTGAAGCAGAGGCCAGCGGAGAGAGACAGTTTGCAAAAGGAGGGACAGACTGGAGTGAAGGAAACCACTGCCGAACAGAGGATTCGCCGGGCGGCGGCGGAGAAAACATACGGAGACTAGGAAGAATCGGGAGGAAACAGGAAAGAGGAGGATTTCCCGTGACCATCTGGATGGTTCATCGACCGGTGGCCAAAGGGTGGGTATTGATATTGGGGATGAGAAGGAATTAGGGTTTTTATTTATTTTAAATAAAAATTATAATGAGGTGGAAATGAGATGATAATTTTGAAAATTTTAATTTTATTATTTTTAAATTGCTACGTTACACATTTAACAGTCAACTTTTAGAGCTGAGCGCCATGTAAGCAAAAGTTAACGGAGAGTGACCAAACGTGAACGGTTTCAGTAAACTGAAGTACCACCAATGGATTTAAATATTTCGAGTGACCAAACTTGAACGTTTTTTGTAATCTCAGCGACCAGTCATGCAATTAACCCCTTTTTTCCAGCATTTATATGTTTGTCTTTTAATGGAGGAAAGAGAAAAGCTGACTTCTCTCTTCCTCTCTCTTTTCTCTTCCTCCCTTCCTTTCTCTCTTCCAAACTCCTTTTTCCATATCTAAATCTCCTTTCTTCTCTTGTTCTTCATTTTTTTCTCCAACAATCGATGAAGAAATTGCAGCCTCCCACCTCAAATTCGGTGACGCTCCGAATCCTTCTTCTCTCAAGCTGCTCCTTTGACACACTCCTACTGTCACTCTAGAAAATGGCCAAGTGAAACCACTTCATAAAGCGTAGTATAGCGGGTTTCGGTTTTAATGTCAACCCGGGTCCTAGATTTGATGACTACTCGGTGAATTCTTGTTATCTAGCAGTGAAACTTTAGTGCAAATCCAAATTAACAAACAAACAAAGCAAGTTAAACGGTTGTTTTCAAGTCGAGAGAGGTCACCCGGATATGGTTCCCCCAAGACTGCAGTTAAGCCATATTGCAATTTACCTAGTTCAATTTCTATGATAGTTATACTGCGGAAGGTTCTTAAACAGTCAGAAGTCTCGACTAAAAGTCTCCAGACCATCTCAATCTGAGTCTCTAGCGGGCGACTAACCTCCACCGGAGTAAACCGATTGAGGCCCTAACGAACAAAACCTCCACTATCGAAGTAAATTCGGTACAAAATAGTGAATTGGCTCCTCGGTTAAAGTCGCCAATTCACTACCTTCAACTAAGGGTGCTCTATTAACCTAGGCAGATATTCTCATTCTAGGCTAAAGCAGAAATAACAGGAATTTGATCAGGATTCAAGTCATTCAATCATTCAAACCTCAATTGAACATAATCAAATCATAGAATCTGTACTTGGGTTCATACAATCAGACCTAACATACAAATCTAGGGTTTCCCATACCCAGATGAATGGGAGAACTACTCCATGGAGAAAGAAGCAAAAGCAGATTCAGATGCGGAAACCATAATGTGAAGGATGGTTTTCTGCTCCTGGGCGTTGATCGGCACTTCTCCAAGCTCTAGCCGGGCTCCAATGGTGATGAAGACAAGCTAGGGCACTTGGGAACTCTTGTTCGTCACTTTCACTCTCTAGGAATCGCTCTGTCTCTCTAAAACTCGAATCCCCTTCTCTTTTGGCTGAAATCTACCTAAAAGGGCATCACTGCGCAAAACACGGTCGAGGGCACGGCCGTGTTTTGCTCCAGCCCGCCCGTGCCCTTTCCACGTGGTAAATACACGGCCAGACTTTGGGGGAAAACACGGGCGTGCTTTTGGTGGACACGGCCGTGCTTTTGGTCAGTCCCGCCCGTGTTTTGAGCTTGTGTTCGACAGTCTTGGATTAAGCCTCGGCAGTAAAAACACGGTCCAGGAACACGGTCGTGCTTTGATTTAGGCGTGCCCGTGTTTTGGCTCCAGCTCGACCGAATGACTTCCGAATGCCCCGAAACTCGTGCTTAGCCTTTCCTTCGACGCCTGGGACCTGAAATATGACAAAGTAGCACAACCCGGCGTAAAATAGGCCAAAAATACACGACTATGCCCCTCAAACGGATAAGAACTAAGGGTGCAAATATGTGCAATTACATCGTTATCAAATTCCCCCACACTTAACCGTTTGCTTGTCCCCAAGCAAACCAAGTCAGACACCAGGTAAGCTCAAAACGTTTCAATCAAGCAGGCTTTGGGGCATATCATATTGGCACAAAACATGTGGATCATACTGGCTTTCAATCATTAACACATGGACAACCTCAATGACAACCTAGACAACCACCACAGATGACATTCGAATGCAGTAAAGTCGAGCAAAGGAAAAGTCTCCCTTCTGTTCACCAACCAACATAGACTTGACGCAACCACATATTCGAGACAGTCACTTCATGCAAAAAAACTCAAGATATCAGAATTAAAACCGAGCAATCTAGGTCCTCACCGGGATAAAGAGTATAGAGGATATGAGAAAATGAATCACTCACTCTCGACCAGTGGGGTCAGGACAATTTGATGCGAAAAATGCGCATGCTTACTCTCTCAATCCCTAACGTCTCTTCACCATGAATGCAGCCTTTAAATGCTAGAGTTCACATATGGGGTGTCACCACTAACTAATCCGGAGGTCTTAGACACAGGTTCAGATGACTGGCTAGGGTCTTGGACATGGGGAAAAGGCCTTTTAGGTGGTGGAAGTATTCATAGCACAAGGTTCCACATTTCCAAACCCAACAAACTCACAGTCAATCAAACCAATAACTTTCTTTCTTCTATTCTGCATTACTCAAATTCTTCAGAGCACAAGAGCGAAGGAGGTCACATAAATGCTAGTATTTCTAAGCCAGACTGCTAAGAAACACTACTTAATGGGCACTATTAAGATTTTTGTTAGTGGCTCTCTTTTGCTTTCATTTTTTTCTTTGTTTTTCTTTCATTCATTTTTTCATTTCTTAAGAGAACCACCACCTCTGCACATTTTTCAAACACCTGCCCAACTTTTTAAGAACTACCTCCAACCCTCACATTATATTTAGCAGAAACAGCAGAGAACATGTAAAAACCACTCTGTGGAACCTTCTAAGAGATGCAAAAGGGTGATTTTTTTCATATTGACCGAAAGAAAGGGTAACACACGGCTCAAAGGGGCTGACTAGTGGGTATGACACACCAGGACAGTCAATTTGGTCGTGGGCTAATCCTATGCCTCCATCATCTTAGCTAATCTTAGCTAATGACAACGTGAATGCTGCACATCATGGAAGAGGGAACTATCGCACAAGAAAGAAACGAGCAGGCTCAAGTCTCACATGGCTACCTATATGCTCTATCTCTCGTTCTGATTCCCTGAACTAGATGCATAAATGACTGTCAAAAGCAAGTGATCAAACCAAGTCACAGTTGGTAAGCAAACAGTTGAAAAACTGAACCCCTACACAATTCTACTGCTCATCTCAGTCATCATAATAAGCTGTCTTAGTCACACTCAAGTTGTCATGCATCAATTCAAAAGCCATTCAATTCACTAATCACATCCACAGTGCCAATACGATCAAACATCAGGCAAACAACACTGCTTCGAGCCCTCAAATCTCGAGATTTGGACAGCGGACTAGGCTCCAAGCACACATATATATGTTCCAATTCATACAAAGAACCCCCCCCCCCCACACACACACACACACTTAAATGCGACAATGTCCTCAATGGAGCAGAAGGAAGGGGAACGATGTTACCGTGAAAGGAGAACAAGAACGGGAACTGGAAGGCAGACCAGTCCAGAGAAGGAGGCACAGAGCTAAAGACAACAAAAGACACACACTGGGTGAAAGAACCGGAGGTCCAGGTCTATAATCCAAGATAAAAAACAAAACGAAACAACAAAACATGGAGTCTCAGTATGGAATACAAATGAAGCACAGAACCAGCCCCTCGCCACTAGAATGCATCACCACCATCGCCGGTGGGTGGAGGGTACTCATCCTCAAACCCCGGGGACTGCACGAACGGGTAGTGGACTGCATTTGGGTCCAAGCCCAGGTAGGACATGATGTAGTGCTGGCCTGACATGAGACGACGCCCTCGGTCCCGCTCACGATCGAGGCGGGTGTGAATGCCCTCCTAGCCGGCCAGGATGCGCTCGTTCTGCTGAGCGATGGCCGCCAACTAGTCAGAAATGGGCACCACCACTGGCGGAGGAGACCCGGGAGTCGGAGACCTGGGAGCAGGGGACCGGGGAGCAGCGGAGGGGCTTGCAGGAGCCTAGTCACGACGAACAGTGCGACGGGGAAGCCGGCGTCCCCCAGCTGTGCTCGACTCTGGCTGGTCGCCCGCTGCAGGTAGAGGTGGCTGAGGAAGGACCGCGATCCAGTGCACACGCCCGTGGCGAGTAACCATGTGCTGGTGGCGGAGGGTGGCCTCGCTAAGCGGGGTTGTTCCTTGGACCAAGGTCATCCCAGTGTAGTCGACCCCGTAGTAGCGGGCCAAGGCGGTGATCACCGGGCCACATACAAGGTTGCGACTCTGGCTGGTGGCGGATTTGGTGAACGTCCGGGCGAGCACAGAGCCCAGCTGGATGGTGTCCTCAGAACGACCCGTCGCATGCATGAAGAACAGTGTCCGGAGTGTGACCCGGTTGGACGAGCCTTTGCTGGGTGTGTAGAACTGGTGAGCAAGTGGTTGAGGATCCGCCACTCCGGACGGAGGAGAGAGGCCCGCGTCTGGCTGGCAGTGTACTGTTCATCCACATTGTTCGTGTAATACCCCTGATATTACGATTCGGGTTCAACCATAAGAAATAAACCATTGGATCAACAATTACGTACGAATGGGTACAACCGTGAATTAATAATAATAATTATTATAATAATAATGATAATAATATTATCATTATCATCTGCACGTCCCCATTCTTATTAGTCCCCATTATTATTGTCATCATCCCCATCATTCACATGTTACCAACAAAAAAGGAAGAAGAGAAATAAAATTAAAAAAACTAAAAACTCCAAATCCCAGCTCCCATTAACGTTACCTCTTTTCCTCTTTCTCCCTCAGTCTCTCTAATTCCCTTCCATTAGCATTGCTCTTCCCTTTCATTTTTATTCTCCACGTATCTGAGAGCAACAGCGCCAATCCACTTCTCGTCACCACCATCTACCTCCTCATTTCCTCGACCGAACTCAGTGT